CGAGGGGGGACAGGCTGTCACGTCGTGGTCGGTGCATCGGCGAAGCTGGACGTCGCGGTGACGGCGACCGGAACTCTCGGCGGGACGCAGGCTCGGGGGACTGAGGTCGTCGCAGGTACTCGTCGATTTCGATAGGGCGTTCACCATGACGGGGGCGCGGGTCGTTCGGGTGGAACCCGCGTAGCCCGAGTCGTCGGTATGGGCATCGGCGGTAGGTGTGGTCCGCTTCCCCGCAAAGGAAGCACAGAGGGCGTCGGTCGGGCGTTCGCCACACGTCGGTCTTGCGGGGTGCGCGAGGCTCTGGGCAGGCGTACTGGACCTGGTCGTCGTGGCGTCGGTCGTGCTGCGGCGCAGGAGACTAACGTCGGGGCGGCGTGACATAGGTGCGACGAGGAGGCGGTGGCCGTCGGGCCACTGCGGCGTAACTCAACGTCGGTGGTTCCGGAGCGGTGCTGACGAGAACCTCAGGCTGCAGCACTTGCTGGACTTCTTCCCTGACAATCTCGGCGATTGAGGGCGAAGCTGGGCTTGCGGCGGCAGGTAGAACTTTCTTGATCTCTTGCCGGACGACGTCTCGGATCATCTCGCGGATGTCCATGGTGTTGCAGCCGGAAGGCGAAAAGGAACCGACGCCGGGAACTCGGTGATAGTGGGTGGCTCGTGCTTGAAGGGCACGTTCGATGTTGGTGGCCTCCGTCATGAAGCCTTCGACGGTGGTAGGCGGGCTCCGCACAAGACCACCGAAAATGTTTTCCTTGACACCACGCATCAAGACTCTGAGCTTCTTTGCTTCGGATGCTTCGGGATCGGCGCGGTTGCTCAGTCGCAAGACATCTTCCACGAAGCTAACGACGCTCTCGTTAGGGCCTTGAATCCTCGCTTGAAGAAGCTCTTCCGCGCGTTCTCTTCGTTGTTGGTTCGTGAACGTTCTTCGCAACTCAGCCTTGAGTTGCTCCCAGGAAGTGATCGAAGCTTCGTGGTTCTCGAACCAGTTCCGGGCGGTGGCTTCCAAGGCGAAGTAAGCGTTTTGCAGACACTGCTCCGGAGTCCACCCGTTATGACGGGCCACTCGTTCGTACTGTTGGACCCAGTCGTCGATGTCTTCGTGGCTTTCGCCGTGGAAGGGAGCCGGTGTCCGAGGAGCGACGGGTAGGTAGACGACGGCAGGAGCAGCGGGGGCCTGCGACTGGTTGTCCATCGTCGTCTTCTTCGGCTTGGGTTTGTCCAGGAGCAAACCGTACTCCAGATCCTCTCCCTTGGTACGGCGGCTGGTCCGAGTTTCAGGTTCCGTGCTGAGTGGTCTTCTCAGCGAGCTTGGAGTCGGGCTTGCACTGCGGGTCCTGGGAGGGGAACGCTGCACGGGCATGCGGTACCCCGCACCTCCACCAAAATGTCACGGGTGGTGACCAATAAACAATAAATAAACAGAAAGAAATAAACGTTTAATGTGGCGAACTTGTGCCAAAAATAAAAGGGTACAAAAGATAACAACGGAGCGTCGCGGGCGTCGAAGTCGGCGTAGCAGCAGAGTCGAACACTGGGCGAAAACTGACTGCAGATCAGCACGCGGACTCCCTTATGTAGTACGCGCGTTGGGTTCTGGAACAATCGGCCTAGATTGTTCGGCGATTGGAACATTCAGAACTCGATCTGACGAGAATGTTCTCGAACTCACGAGAACGCAATGAAAGAACAAATAAAAGAGCATTCCACTGACTGGAATCGAACCCAGACCTTCTGCACGACAGTCAAGCACGGTAACCACTCGGCCACGCGCGCGGTCGCCCGCTGACGAGCGTGGCAATATTTCCTCTGAAATTATTCCTTATATTAAAAAATGGCCGCATTGGGTTTAATTATTATTGTGCAGCACATCAGTTAAATATATAGTCGGTGAGGGTAACGTCTATAATCTGTGACAGACAGGTTAAGAGTAAATCGAACGCTGCAGAGGAGGCGATATCTATTTCAGCGTTTAGAGTTCGATCTGCTGATTTGGAAAGAGGTGAGAGGAGCTTCCATTTTACTCTTAACCTGTCTGTCACAAACTATGGACACCCCGGGTTAAAAAAAAAAAAATTCTAAAGTTTGTATTTCGCTTCATTTGAAAAAAATGTGTGTCCTATTTGGCCGCGCTTTGTAGCTCTTTCTTGCACGCTCCTGCTCTAACTTTTTCCACTGAATATTTGCGAACGCCTGCGAACTGGCAAAAAGCTCATATTTCGTATTAAATAAAACAGCGCAAAAAGGACAGGGGAACGTGGAAAACACACTAACAAAGCGCTGTTGGATCGTGCTAATATCATACTAATTACAGCTGTAAAGATTACAGCTTTAGAAGGTCAAGTTCTACTTACGGCTACATGTTTCGTAACTTTGTGCATGTTCAGTTTCTTTTCACTGTTATGACATTCTGATACATTACTTGACGCAGACTTGCAAATAAGTGATTTGAATTGAAGCATCTTCGGGACAAATATCTACCCTGCAAATTATCCTTCTGTCTACTTGCAGTCGTGCGAAGATAATAGGCAAGCTTTGATGAAATGGAAACAAGAAAACGAAGATGCTATCCAGAGAATTAACACGACACTGTGTCCACAAGCAGGAGAAGGTGACTGATAACATTCGTTCTTTGGATGTTGATTCTGCAGCATGAACCGCAGCATGAGTTGCCCTTTAGTTTTGCTTCTCGCGCTCCCTTTTTTCCTCTCCATCCTGGCGCTGAGTGATGGCGTCGGGATGCGGCCCGCACAGTGCGACTTCCGCAGAGCCGCTTCGTGAATCTCGCTTGTTACGATTAATGATACCTAAATTTGATCATATTCGATAAATTATGAAGTATGCCTTTTCGTTTTATGTTTATGCATTGCTTGCTGCGGGTTGGGCATGCTTTATGTTGCCTTGGTCTGCGAGTAACGCGTTTTCGTCACACACGAGCGTATCACTCTTCGCACGAAATCGAACTCATAAACATATTCTATGGCATGCTAATACAGAATGCAACCGGTTGTGAGTGAACGAAGGAGCTATTCGGAAAGCCAACCTGGTGAACCTAATCCCGTGTGGTCCTTGAGTCTGTGAGGAAGGACCAAGGGGGGGGGACTTCCAGGGATTTTGAATGAGTTGAATCGAACATGAAAATTGCCGCAAATCATAGCAAGAGCTTAGGAACCATCTGGAACCCCCGGATCGCCGCAGTCAACTCTTCCTCTAAGACTGCGGAACTTGAGATCCCTGAATAAGCTACATATTTAATTTAAGCGAAACGACCACCACAACACTAAGCCACACCAAAGCAGGCATATGTTAGACATTGAAGTTTGTCGTTGCGAAACTCGTCTTCTTTGTTCGTTAAAAATTGCAGGAGTCCTTCCTAACAAAAATATACGTGTTGGAATAGAAAGGGAAAAAAAAACACGAAAAGTTTGATTTCACCTTTAGCGTTTGGTTGTTTCAGGCGTGTTATCTCAAGGTGATTCCACTGATCTCCAGACGATCCTGAAGACAGGGGGCTGCCTTTCCTTCATGAAGGAAGTTGGAGAACATGTGTGCCAATCTCGTGGAGCAGGAGTGAGTTCCTATCTTCAGTGAACTTACTGAAATATATGTTCGAATCATAGATGTCTTGACTAAAAGAAGAATCGCTGCCACAATGCACGGAGTAACCCGTGTTTTCTTGAAATATTTAAAGTTGCCTCCACAATTCCGATAATCTCGGAGGGAAAAGTGTCGTATGTGCATTACGCGTCCTTTATGGTTTGTTGTGCCAGTTTACGGGGAGCTTTGAGTGGCTTCTGACGCGTTGCATACAGGGCACGCTCGTGTGCTCCCCGAATTCGTCAGATTGATGAAGGCAACTTTAAATCGACTCAGGAAGGGAACGTGTAGGGGTATGTTTTAATAGGAAGTTCTTGTGGCTTTGCTCTTTTCCGGGGGCGTATGTAGTGCTTTGGGTCCTTTTTGCTCTTGGATTGCGAGTGTGAAGTAATCGCAAGAGGAGGAGGTTTATTGCACCCCCTATGCTATCAATACGTAACCGTGCGAAGTCGTGACCTCATACGTCCGCTACTCTATCCGTTCGGAGCGGTGGAGAAAAGCTCACCAGAGAAAAGTTCACCAGCGTGGTCACTGATGAGGCCAATGACGTTAGTTGAATTTACATATTCAGCATTAGATATCAAGCACAAATCTAAAGTTGCGAGGTCCCGTGTTGGAATGCTCGTCATCTATGTTAGTTCAAAAGCTTATAACAAACAAACAAACTCGTTGTAGTGGCACCAATGCGCAGGGTTTGGGAATGGCTCCCAGTCTATTCCTGGATAGTTAAAGTCACCAGCAAGTATCAGAATATCGTTTCGGTAAGCACTCTTTACTGCGTTAAGGCAGGTGCGCAAGCTTTCGTTAAAGTCCCCAGGGTTAGTGCTCGGTGGACGGTAAGAGGCACCAATCAAAGCGTGGCGAAAGTTCAGCTCTACCCGGATACAAATTATTTCCAGGGTAGAATCGCACTTTCCGAGAGAACATTGAATGTCATTTTTAACTGCAATGAGTACGCCCGCTCCCCTCATAGGAATTCGATCCTTTCTGAAAAGTTTGTAGTTTTTACTTAAGATTAGTTCAGAGTTCTTGACACTGGATGTCCAGCAAGTTTCTGTACCGAGAATAATATCTGGGTCGCATGACGAAGTAATGCACTCGAAATCATTTTGTTTGAAAACTAAGCTGCGAAAGTTCGCTACAAAGAAAAAAAAAAAAAAGATAACCTTGGTACATTTCTAGGGCAAGATACCGCTGCAGATAGTTCGTTTCGAGTGAGTCACTCGGCCGGACGTGGACTTGCACGTGGTGAGACAAGCAATTAGATGACAGCCGCGCTTTCATTATCCTACACATACATTTGGTTTCCGACACGTAGCTTGTCGAAAGAGAGCTTATATCTAATACTGTTTGGAGGGAACAGCGCAAAAAGGACGTAGGACGAGGTCGAAGAAACACACAGACAGGGCGCTGACTTACAACAGAAAGTTTATTGCTCTGAAGAAAGAGAAATAAACATAAACTTAAAATTGGGACGCAAAGTTCCACAACGTTTGCCTAGCGAATTCCACGTTGAGTGAAAATCCTCAAAGATCCAAACTCTCGGAGACAACACATTTTTTTAGTTTGCGAGCATTTCGTAGGATCTCATCTTTGGTCATAGAGCTTAGGAGCCTGACAATAACCGGCCGGGTCGAACCGGTTCACCTTTGATTAAGCCGATGAGCTCTTTCTCAGTGATGTTTCTTTTATGAAGTTCGAAACCAACGACTCTGTGTCACTCCACGACTCGTTTTCACCTTCGGACAAGCCCTTCTGAATAAAGTTGTTTTTCCGCATTCGCTATCTCATGTCGTCAAGACCTTCGGTAAGCAAAGTCCTGAGATCATGCACAATCGCGGGCTCATGCAGAACATCAGCCAGCGTTTTGGCAAGGGTAGCAACATTTTTTTTTTACCCTGGTGATTTCGTTGACTTTTGCCTTCAAGGCAAAGGTCAACGAACCCGTAACCCGAAATTGGCAATCCCGCCATTGATTGCGCCTAGCTTCTGCGAGCTTTCTTGTTGGTAGCGAGCAGAAGTCGTTTGTTAATGCCTCGATAGCACCTTGCAACTTGTTCATTTTTTCTTCGGAAGTCAGAGGGCCAGGGTTTGTCTCAATTTCCCCGGGTGTGGAAAGCAACGCCAGCATAACGGTTGCGACAGTAAACAACTTAAGCAACCAAACGAACAAAGACAGGAAATATTGCAACGTCCTGGTGGTACGTGGTGCAACCTTTGTTTTTATTTATTTGAAAATCGACCAATGCGCACTCGGTACATTTGGACATCAACGCCCATAATGTTCACACCCTAAAAAGTTTGCAACCGAAAAAAAAAATTACAGCGTAAAACCTACCTGGAAGAAGTTCACGACAGGTTTAGCTACGATGACAACTTGACTGCAAATCGCGCAGTTGAAATGGGGACGACTCCTTTTGTAGGTGGCTGAGCCCCAGGAGAGCGGATGACGTAAGAAGCAGCTGGTTGAAGCAGATTTCTTATCGATAGTGTTAGAAGCAGTTCGTTATACACACGTAGAGGGCTTTAGCTGCACTGTCAGCGTTGATCGTGGGCGAAGCGGATGCTGTTCCGAGTCCCGGCAGCAGCAGAGCGGCCACGAGGGCAGCAAAAAATCCTGGAAGAAGTTCACGACAGGTTTAGCTACGGTGACAACTTGGCTGCAAATCTCCTTACGCGAAATGGGTTGACATAAACGGGAACGAGGGCTACAGCCAGGGCGAAGAATAAAAATATCGAGGTGATTAAATCGCGATATTCAATCAGACTGCTGATGATTTTAATGCGCATATGTTCTGTACTTAAATCAAAAGAATCATCAAACAAGAAATATTTATATGAGGCTGAAAACAAGCCAAAGGCAGTCTTTGGAGCAAATCGATGCATTGAGTGTTATTTCTACATTTTACTTCGTTCTTTTTGCAATCAAACCAGAACGCAAAAGATAGAAACGAAAACTCAAAAAGTAACGTCATATCGCAAGAAAATCAGATCACGAAACAGGAAAGCAAATATACCTGTTTCGTTAACAAAAAAAAAAATTAACCCGTTTTTGTTCCAGTATGGCGGAGTTTTCATTAAGAAAAACGTCCTAAAATTGCGGTAAATCACTTCTCCGCAATTGTCTCCGCATTTGTGTTGTGTACCAATATTTTCTAGCTACAGTGATTTAAATAAAATTAATCTGATTTAAATAAATATACGATTTATATATATATATATCTTTTTAAATCTGATTTATTGTATTTTTTATAATTATTTTTCTTCGGCTACAGAGGAGCGACCCGATGTAAGGTGTGTGCACTGCGTGACAACGAACGAACATACCTTAATAACGTCATAGTAATTTTGCCAAAGGTTGCAATTTGAGGCGTGAGACTTTGACATCTACCACCTCGACTTTTTCACAATCAGCCTCTTCATTCGCACCTAAATCTATGTTTTCTAAAACATGTTTCAGCGGCGGCTCAGAATTTTTTTTTTTGTGAATTAACGCGGGTATGTTTGTACTTCATTGGTTTTTTTTTTCTTTTTTTCATAACCCTCATTATAATAATATTACAAGACTGCAATGTTCTATTATCAAGGACAATAAAGGTTTGGCGGATGACGAGAAAAGGCCGACAGATGCTCGACTGGACCCAAACCTTTTATCAAAAAATCTCCCAAGTTGCGGACAAAACGTCGCTTTAAAGTGTTTAAATCATAAAGTCGAGGTGCTCCGTTATATTGTTATTATACGCAGGTGGATAACATGTTTATTAGTAAAGCATATGTTGCATAAGCTTTTACTTTGATTGATAATTTAAGTATTGTCCTCCTTTTAAAGCGATACTTAACCGAAATTTGGATTTCTCAAAATAACGGCGCTGAAGCGGTAAACGGGACGCAATGAACTCTAGAACCCCACTCATACATCGATATCTCAAACGGATGGCTGTATTTTTGGAAAAGGGCGCGATCAAGCGAGGGCTATTAGATCATGGTCCTCCTGGAACATTTGAGAATGAGGGGAAACTGCCTCGCTTTACTCCTTCTCGCTTCGGTTCACCAGCTCGACAGGAATCAAGACGTAGCGAAAATGAAAGGGAATGAGAATCGTGACGTGACTTGTCTCGTCGGTCTTGTCGGCCGTGTTCGATCGCGCAAGCTTCCAAAAAATACGGCGATCCGTAAGAGATATTGCTGTATGAGTGATGTTGGGTTTTGCAGCGTCACACCTATCTGTCCAGCCTTGTTTTGTGAGCTCAAAATTTAGGTTCAGTAACCCTTTATCACGCAGAATGTGACTAACAAATGCGTAACGACGCTGATAACGTTGGTTTCTACAGTAAAACTTACCCAAATATTTTTAGGGCTTTGGTCAGTACGCCATTTATGACTGCTCTGTTCAATGCAAGTCATCCAGTGTGATGATTCCATTACCCAGAGACATACCCTGTGAAAGGGGAAGATTTGAAAGTACATGCAAAATATTTAATCTCTCTGTCTCTCTCTCTCTTGTTGTTCGATTCGGTCACTCTCTCTGTTTGATATTTATCTAAAGCTTTTAAATTTCATTTTCTCTTACCTAGATTTGATCCTCCAAGTTCATAATATATTGCGTTACAATATATTTTTGGTAGGGAAAAAGAACTGTAGCGCAGTAATTTCTAAGAAATACGATTATGCTCCCAATTTCAGTGAAAGCTCGTCTTGAAGAAAAAAAATATATTAAGGTATTTAAATAGCGCTTTTTGTCTTTGGTTTAATCAAAGAAACCTGTCGCACTTTCAAAATCACATTTAAAAGGTACAAGCGCCGGACTAAACAAGTGTCAAATCTTTCGGAAGATTGTCTGCTAAGTTCGACGGCGGGGCATCCTGGGGCCCTAACCTACCCGGCGTGAGCACGCGCGACCGGGACATTGCCGCTTACTGCGAGTGGTCACCGGCGTGGAGCTGGCCAATTGCAGCAGGCGGCGATGCACCGGTCCCTTGGTCCCGCCCTATAGATTAGGGCCCCTGGACGCTTCCGACATACGCCTTTCAGCAGACAATACGCGTTGTCTGCGAATGCCGCCATAGACTGCCCGAAATAGGGCCATCGTTTTCAGGGGCGAAGCTCCTTAGGGGCTATACTCCGTTTCACCTTATGTTGTACCTCAGCGAAGGCTAGAAACGAAAGCTCATAGCGTTGGCAGCTGCCCTTGGTGCACGAGAGCTTGTGCCGCCGAGATGTGCCCAAGAGCAAGGAGCTCGCGCTTGTAGCCTTTCCTGCGGTACAACACAAGGTGAAACAGAGTATAGCCATGTCCGTATGTCCGTCCGCCGTCGGGTGCACGTGCTCCTGCTCGTGAGCTCACGCGCTCACGAGCACGTGAGCACGTGCTCCCGTGATCGTGTAGGGCAAAAAAAAAAAAAAAAACGCATCTCCACGTGGTGAATGATGTTGATTGGGGCGAAGCTCTGGTGGAGATGCGGTTGTTTTTTTTTTCTGAACAAGGCAAGTTCATCCGTAAATATCTTCACATCAAGCTTCCATCACCTAGCCGCACGCCTGTAGTAAAGTGCAGCACGACACCTTAAGAATCCGATATTTGCGGACCGTCTAAGGGGTGTTCAATTGGCTATAGCATACATGCTGGGTTCAGATATTTCCTCTCAGATAATCGCTTGTAAAACAGAAAAAAACTGGCCCCATTGGGTTTTATAATGTCTATAGTCTTTGACAAGCAGGTTAAGAGTAAAGGCCGGTTCTCACATGCAGCGAAGCGTTGATGTAGCGCTGCTCACGTGTCGTCAGCTACTTATCGTCTGCCATGACCAATAGTTTTGACAATGCGATACAAAGCTGGCTAGCGCTCCCGTCAGCACGCGCTTAGCGCGAGGTCAGCGCTTGTAGCGCTCCGCTGCATGTGGGAACAGTCCTTAAAGCGAAAGCTGGAGAGGATGCTATGTCCTCTTCAGCGTTCTGCGCTCGATGTGCTAAAGTGAAAAAAGGTGGGAGGAGCATCCAGTTCTCTCTTAACCGGTCTGTCGAAGACTATGGACATTCAGGATTAAAAAACCTTCTGGGTGAGCATTTTGCTTTGTTCAAAACACATGTACCTTATTCAGCCCTTTTTCTAGCTATTTCTTACGTGCTCCTGTTGTAACTTTTCAGATTGAATAACGTGATAACATCTGTGAACTGGTATAAAGCTAGTATTGCATAATAAATAAAGGCGTGCAAAAATGACAGGTGAAAGTGGAAGGCACAAAGCACTGTCGGATAGTGCTAATATAATATTGGTTAAAATAAACATTGCAGCTTTCAAGGCCAAGTTATACTTCACGGCTATGTTTCGCAACTTCGTGCATGTTCTGTTTATTTTCACTGTTATGACATTCTGAGATATTATTCGACGCAAACTTGGAAATATGAGATTTCAATTGAACCATCTTCGGGCCAAACATCTGCCCTGCAACTAATCCTATTGTCTTGTTGCAGTCATGCGAACGGAATAGGCAGGCATTGCTGCGATGGAAAAAAGAAAATGAAGACTCTATCAGGAGAATTCAAGAGTCACTCTGTCCGAAAAGAGAAGAAAGTAACTGATATTATTCGTTGCTTGGACACAGTGAGAATAAAACGCTATGCGCCGTGCACTTCAGCCCTCTTTTGTCTGTGTATGTCTAATAGAAAATGGCGCGGTTCTAAGTATGAAACGAAACAAAAAATAGGAATTACCGTATGTTCGTCGAGTGAGGATACGCAGTCGAGAACAGACAACGAGGTCCTTAGACTTTGACGAAGTGCGTTCTTTACTCTCTACGTCTATTGAGAGGAGGCGCCACAAGAACAAACATCGCGAATTCGGTCATCTGCTTTGATGTTTGCAGTTGGCCTGGGCAAATTTGTTGGTCTCAAGCTTCAGAGGAAAGGAAAGAGAGACGATCAAAGTCTTTGTTGAACAGTTGTCCCTAGCCTGGGTACTCTGAACCCGTAATGGTAGCCCTTCAGGTTGAGGAGCTCATGGGTTTTCTTGATGTATTGAAGCAAGGCTTCTGGGTAGACACCGTGTAGTTCTGGTGGGGCAGCGAGCCATTCCCTTGAGAAAGATTGAGGGGGAAGGGGGGGGGGGAGCTGCTAAGCAGACTTGTACACAATACTACCCTGTTGGAAAATCTCAATGATGGAAAGATGATGGAAAATGCTCATACAAGCGTAACCATAATATGGGACATCCTATACAAGCGAAAGGCGGCTCCAGTAGAGTGGATTAAGCAGAAAGATACAGTCGGCGGAACCATACAAGCGTGTCGTATTATGGGACATCCTATACCAGCGTAGTGGATTATGACGGAACCATGTAGGCGGACGAAATTATAGATGCATAACGTAATATGGGACATCCTATACCAGCGAAAAGACGATACCAGCATGGTGGAGCCATATGGCTCGACCATGCTGGTATCGCCTTTTCACTGTTGTACAGGGCGATTTAGTTTTAAGCTTTACATATATGTTTAGAAAGGTCGTGAAAGCTAAATTAATGCGGTTTGTGCAGGCGAGTTGTACGGCCAGGGGTACGTAGTATAGGGACCTAACCGTAACGATCAGTCAGATAATTAAATACAATTTGTTAATTAACCTTTTAATCACTGAAAACAAACAGATGGTTTCAATTAGAAACTTGCTGAGAGTCATCGAAAACAACTAAATCAACTCTTTTTAGAACGATTGATTGATTGATTGATTGGGGGTTTATGGCGCATCAGCAACTAAGGCTATATTGCGCCAAGCTAAGACTATTGCGATTCGGGTTTAGGAAGAGGAAAGAGTAGCAAAATATATGATAAAACCATGAACATGAATGTGTATAAGTGTAAACAATATGACAATGAGTTTAGGATAGAAAGTAAAATCACAGTCGGTGTAGAAGGCCGATATCTGTGAGGAAATTAAAAACACAACTATATGGAATGAGCGGTTCGTCACCTAGTAGTAGGGCAAGGTGTAGTGGAATGTGTTCTTTATAAAGCAGTGAGTAGTGTTTATACCGGCATTGGTCATACATAAGGCATTCAATGAGTATGTGCATAATACTTAGAGGTAGGTTGCAGTGCACACATTCAGGGGCATCCTCCCCGCTCAAGAGGTGTCCATGTGTAAGACGAGTATGACCGATTCGTAGCCTACACAATACGACCTCATAAAAGCGCTCCCGATGTCGGGCGCTCTCCCACTCGCCTAGAAGAGGTTTGATTGCATGTAGTTTGTTGCCGGTTTCGCCGTTCCACTGCAGCTGCCACTTTGCTTTGATGCAACGTTTCAGAGAATTGTGGTAATCTTTGTAGGGTATTTGGTGTGTGTCAATTTCTCTATCATTAGCAGAACTGGCTGCACTATCAGCTGCTTCATTTCCAGGAATGCCAACATGGCTAGGAACCCAGCATAAGACTATGTCAAAATTTTTCGTTGCAGCCAGGATTATCTTGTACTTTAACTCGGAAACCAGTGGGTTTTTTACACGGTTCATTGATGCGACAGCCTTCAGAGAGCTTAAAGAGTCGGTGTAGATTACAGCGTGAGAAAGGCGTTTTTTGATTATGTAATGAACAGCTAACAACAAACCATAAAGCTCTGCTGTTAGTATAGAGGCTTTTGAATTTATTCTCTTCACCTGATTTACCGATGGTCCCACCATAGCACAGCCTACTACGGAGTCTTTTTTTGTCCCGTCTGTATAAAAACTAGCATACTCGTGATATTTGGTCTGAAGCTCAAAGAAGTTCTGCCTTATGACTTCCTGTGGAACATTCTTTTTGTTATACTTGGTCAGTGTAAGGTCACAATGTATCTGGCAGTTGTTCCAAGGAGCTATATCCGGAGGGTATTGGACCAACTGAGGCTTTGCATCCATCCCAACGGATTGTGCGCCAGTATTATTCCTCATAGAAAAAGGGGGGACTGTGGAAGGTTTGTTTTCAAATGTGCGTTTGAACTTGATCGTCTCAATATTATCTCGAACGGGGTGCTCCGTGACCGAGCGAACCCTGACAGAGTACATAAAACCCAGGGAAAACCTCCTATACTCAAGGGACAATTCGTTGGCTTCCGCGTAAAGGCTAAGCACTGGGGAGGTACGAAATGCACCGGTAGCCAGTCGCAGTCCTTGATGATGAATAGGATCCAACATCTTCAGAACTGATGCCCGAGCAGAGCCATAGACAACACAACCATAATCAAGCTGGGAGCGAACGACTGAGTGATAGATACGCAGCAGACACAGTCGGTCAGAGCCCCATGTATGTGACAAGACCTTAAGGATGTTTAGAGATTTAAGGCACTTGAGTTTTAATCTCTTAATGTGTGGAACGAAAGTCAACTTGTAATCGAACACAAGGCCCAAAAACTTATGCTCATTTTTTACAACAATAGGAGAACCATACATGTTCAAAGACGTTTCCTGAA